AAAAAGGATGTAGTAAAACCACGGTTCTTTTTCCCTCAGCAACCCCTCTGGCAGAATGATGCAGAGCCAGGAGATAATCTCAGCTGCCCTGAGGTTCCTCAAGGGTACACCTTACTGTCCCTGGGGAAAGGAGACAGGGAATCGCACAGCTGACATCAAACCTGTCAGGAAATCCTCTTGGCTCTGCCTTTAAAATACATCCAGAATGGATCACTTATCACCACCTCGTCTGCTACCACCGGTCCAGGGAGGCCTCTCTGCTGACTATTCATTAGCTTCCTAACCAGCAAGTCTTCTTGTTCTTCCCCACCCCACCCCCGGGGCGATTCTCCACATGGTGGTGGCCACGGTGAACCCATTAAAACCTAAGTCACACAAGTCCCACCTCCGAAGGAAAGCCTCTGGAGGCACCCACCTCACTCTCAACTGGAGCTTCCAGCACTGCTCCCACTTGCCTCGAGTGCCTTCCCAGGTACCCGTGTGGCATGTTCCCTTCATTCCTCACGTCACTTCTCGCATGACCCTTGTCCTCAACATACTACCTAAAACGCACCCTTAGTCCTGTCTGCCTTTAGTGCTTTCTACACCTTTGCATGTTTTGAGCCTATATGCGCTGGGCTCTATTATGCTATACAGTCTGTTTTTTAACCTGTGAACTGCCCGTCTTCCCCACTAGCATGTTGAAAGCCGGCTTCTCTGGGCAGGTATTATTGTTCGCTTTTTCTAAAGTCAAGAACAGTGAATGGCACAGAACAGTTACTAAGTGCAGGCTGAGACACACGTGCACTGCAAGCAGGCACATCCCTGGCCTTTCACTGCAGGGGCTACCCGGTGAGGCAAGCAACTTAAAGATCCCAAACTAGACTGATGTACTTCTATTACCGTGGTACGTATTTTCAACTCTGAGGTGTCTACTTACAACTTGCTTTCCCCAATTGGAATGTCCCTATCAAAATCCTATCCAACTCTGGTTAGGTCAAGAATTGGTCAAAAGTTTCCTTCTAGAGGAGTCCTCTAGTTTTCTCCAGCCCATTAGTGATCTTTTCAGAATACTTCCATCAATAATCTCTTATGGCAATCATACACACTTTTCATCTAGTATACTGAAATTGCCACTTATTTCTTAAACTCTTATTTCTATTGGGCTAGGTTGTAAGTTTCTTGAAGTCAGGTAGGCAGCTTGACAGGCCACTGAGCATCTCATGTAATGCTTTCATGCACTACAATTTTAAATATCTTGACTGCTGGAGCACCAAAACCCTTGATTTTTTTTTTCCTACAATACAATCGCAAATTCTCAGTGTATTATAAAGATTAATTTGACCTGAAATACTGTCCCCAATTCTAAGGAAAGACATCCACATTACGTTCATCTTCTACACAGTGGCCAGAATGAAGAGGAGAATCACTTTGATTCTCAGAAGAGAGTCCAGTGTTTCGACAATCAGAAGAACATGTACAAGATTATCAATTTCATTTTGTTCATTTGTAGGACAAATAAGAGTAAAATCAACACATCAAACCTTATGAATATAGTTGACCTAAACTATTTTAATAACTCTAGAGTATTTAAAACAATTTTTTTTATAATCAGTATTGTTTTTTTAAAAAAGACTTTACATTAGGATTCAGAAGAGAAATTCCTATCTTGCCTGCCTTTTGCAGGGGAGGAGTGACGATGGGGAAGGGTCTAGAACATCCCACATCACATGTCAATGCCAATGCTAAATGCTGTTGTACAACTTTGATGATAAAATCTTGGTCTGGTTCTAACTGAATAAATGAAAACATTAAAAGACTCAATGGAATCTTGCAAAACCCTTAGAAAATCAGTATATAATAAGTAACAATGTAATGAGAATAAAGATTCAGGAATGTGAGATCAACATTTTAAAACTATATCTATATGACAGCCAGTGTACAACTACTCCCCTCCTTCTTCTTCTTCTTCTTCTTCTTCTTCTTCTTCTTCTTCTTCTTCTTTTAAACAATTAAGCTTTAAAAATGCAGATTGGTAACAGCTTATTTTGATGTTGAAATATCGTATCAGATTTCCTGCCTGGCATTGGAGGCACAAGTGCAAGTCACAGAGCTACCAACTGTTACACTGTATGCCACAATTTCTTCTCTGAAGTAAGAAAGCACCAGAGCCCAGATATCAGTATTCTCAGATCTAGAAATCATCCTGAATGTAACAGTAAATCAGGTCAAAGAAGCAACAGAAGCCAACTGTTCCCTATACCATAACAAATCTGCTCTTATCCTACTAGGAAATTTGACAAATTAAGGTTTCAAGAGTAATCTTTTTTATGCCTCATCTTGAAAATTTCTTCCAGTCTTCTACAAAAACCAAACGAATAAATACCCCAAACAAAGAGTGATCACAATAACAAAACCCCAAACCACCTTTAAACACTGTGTGTTTTGGCTTCTAATATTTCTCTGGGTTTTAAAATTACAATGACATGCAAAGTTCACATCACGAATACTCAGCGCAGTGGTGCTTCATGCCACAGTAGACACAAATATCCTCTACAACTATGCCTGATTTGTTGTGCAGAAGGAACAGAAAAGCAGCCGAAGTACAGAGGGGACTACAGATTAAGACTCACCAGTAGATTAATGGAACATGAACATTTAAAGAGATTTCACCATAGTTTTTCTTTTTTTAATGTTTTTAATGTTTATTTTAGTTTTGAGAGAGAGAGAGAGAGAGAGCGCGCACAAGTGGGAGAGAGACACAGATAGAGGGAGAGACAGGATCTGAAGCAGGCTCCAGGCTCTGAACTGTCAGCAGTGCCCGAGGCGGGGCTCGAACTCATGAACTACGAGATCATGACCTGAGCCAGTCAGATGCTTAACCAACTGACCCACCCAGGCGCCCCTCACCATAGTTTTCTAACCAATTATCTACAGTGAGCTAAAAGAAAGATATATACCTTGACAATTTAAAGGAAGAAATGTTAAAGATAATCTTTATAAAAAGATGCTTTATGAGCATCTAGTTTTGTCTTCAGAGAATGTCCTAGTAAAATAAGTAACATCAGGAGTCTTTACACCTTACCTGGGGGCAACCAGCTATCTTCCAGATTGTAAAAGAATCTACTTAGAGGGGATTTCATTAACCTAATGCTAAACCAATTTAGAGCAAATATGTTTTTGTTTTCCTATGTTTTGTTTTATTTGTATGAAGCATCAAGCACACAACTCAAAGTAACAGTACAGTCTTCTTTGTAATGTTTATATGTTGGGTTGAACCATGGGGAAATCACTGACATTACACCATTTTTGCCTACAGAATGGCAATTTCATATAATCCCACCTAATATTATCCCTTATGTGGACAATAATTGTACTCTTAATCTTATTAGTTTTGTAGCATAGCTGCAAACTTGTTGTGCATTTATCATACAAAATTGTCCTCTCAAAGTCCCACATACATCATAGTCCCTGAGTTAGGGTCCTATAACATGGACTAGTTGACTTGGGCACCCTTGGATTACCATCCAGGGACAGACACCCTGCTATCACTTGCTAGGTGCCAATTATCCCACTTCCATAGCATACTCTCAAAAACATCTGGATCATTCATGTCATGAGACCTTGCAAAGCTTGAAGGGTACTGGCAGGGAGAGTGTAGGCCAAAGATTTTGGATGGTCTGTGATATTTTCTAGGTCAGGCATGCCCAACTTTATAGACTGATAACCTCATAAGAAGGCATCAAATCTCAGAAACCACCTAACTTTTTTGCTCCTTTTACTACAGAGGCAAAACCCCAACCCATTAGAATTTATAAGTTTCAATAGCATTCCTTTTGAGTAATTCATTGAACATGAATGTATTGAGCACTATTACAAGTCACCAATCAATATGGCAAGAATTGGATGTCTAGTTAATTTTCAATGTCATAAGTAAGCTACTAATGCAGAAATGCTAGGAGGGATATTTTATAAACATGAATACTGTAAGAGACAAGACCACAGGCCTGTGTGAGGTTCTAGGTGTCACCACCGATTACTGGACTTCCTTCCCTCTGACAATCATCCCCTTGGTTACTCGCCCTCCTCCCAAGCCCCCAGGCTGATTTCTTGTGGGTGGAACTTCTCATGAGTGATCTCTGAGTATTCTCTCCCTGGGATTAACACTGAAAGAACCCTTTAATACTTTAATAAGTACAGTTCTTTCTGGTACAGGATAGATTCAGGATGGACTAGTCCTTCTGCAGGATTCCTCTACAAAAAAATACTATTCTTGACATATGCTGGAAAGTGTACAATGTCATAATGTCAAGTGTTTTGGTTTATTTCCTTTCTTGGCCACACATTAATAATCTCTCCAGAATATTTAACTATCCGAGTAGTGTCACCAAAGACCATGCATGCAATGCCTCCCATTCATTCTTAGGACTAGTTCGGCATTGACTAGCAGGAGTTGATGGCAACGATGATTAGCCTTGCAAAGGCCAACAGACTCCAATTGAAGTCTGAATCTTTGACTTTACACTGCGCAAATAAATTATATGTATGTAGTTTTTATAAACAAAATTGCAAATACCAAAAATACTTAATCTCTGGATAATCCACCATAGGGATTATCCACTAATAGGGACAAAGGGAAATGGCTGCTTTACTTATAGCTTCTATGGAGAAAACTAGAAGTGAGTTTAGCATCTCTGAAAGGCAATTAACAGAGAAGAAAATCTGTTCTGTGACAACACAGTGAAATATCACCTGGATAGCACCTTAATAGGAAATGAGACAATGAGTACGGGTTAGACTGAGCTCAAGGTTATCAAAGTAAAGCCTTTTCTGATAATTGGTGCTGCTCCCCCTTGTGGCTATTTAGACATATTGTAAATATGACTTTTTGTACAAGGTTTTTTTTAATGCTAAAACGTTAGGCTATTCAGCCCATTTTTTATCCCCTCTCCCACACACTTTTTAAGGAAAATGGATTCTCCAAATAATTATATGCCACTTAAATGTCAAAGAAAACTTACTGTAGTAGAATCAAAAGAAAGGATGTCCATAACAGGGGGAGAAGAAGTCTGCAAATCGATTACCTCAAGCTTTGGATTAATCTGTGTATATATACAAGAAAAGTTGACATTAGTTTTTTTCTACTATAAAAAACGGAATGCTATTTGCAATAACCTAGAAGGTATTCCTAATATATTCTAAAAATTAAAATACATTGCTAAATTCACTAACATGAATACAAAAAAATTTTAAGTACAATATCAGCCTATCGAGTCTATCAATGTATAAGAAAAGATCACTATGACCAGGTGAATTTATCCCAGGAATAAAAAGTTGATTTTACATTGGAAAATCAACATAATTTACCTATAAAGGGATTTTTTTTAATAAAATAAAATAAAATGACCCACCTCAGAAGATGCAGAAAAAAGTCCTAGCCAGTTCATTAAAACAAGAAAAGGAAATAAAAGGTGTTAAGATATAAGAATTGGAACAAAAGAAATAAAATTGTTATTCATATATAATTATCTGTGGAAAAATTCCAAGAGAATCTACTGCTGACTCATTAGGAAGATCCAAAATTGATACACACAATCAAGTGCACGTCTGTACTTCAACACAGTCAGAAAATGTAAATTTATGGGGTGCCTGGCTGCTCAGTAAGTAGATCAGGTGACTCTTGATCTCAGGGTGGTGAGTTCAAGCCCCACATTAGACATTAAACAACTTTTAAAAAGAATAAAAAGATATCATTTACGATACCATAAAAATGTAAATACATCAGAATAAACACACAACGGTTTGTGTGGGAAAAATAATAAAACTAATGTAAAATATATTTTAAAAGACCTAACTAGGGGAGCCTGGGTAATTCAGTCAGTTGAGTGTCTGACTCTTGGTCTAGGCTCAGGTCATGATCCCAGGGTCGTGGGATTGAGCCTCACGTCGGGCTCCAGGCTGAGTGTGGAACCTGCTTAAGATTCTCTCTCATTCTCCCTCTCTCTCTCTCTCTCTCTCTCTAAAAAAAAAAAAAAAAAAAAAAAAATTTATATATATATGTGTGTATATATATATATATATAACAACCAATTTTTAAAAACCTCTTGCATCTGATTACATCAAACCCAAAAATTTCTTTTTAACAATGGACACCACAAAGTTAACCGTTAGAACATGGAAAAGGAGGATAGATTATGATGTCTGAAACTGAAAAAGTAGGTTTTTCTTGCACATCTACAAATTAATGTGAAAGACAGTGATCCCAAGAAAAAATTATGGAAGAGAAAATCTAACAGTTGACCAGCATATTGAGAGATTTTCAGAAACATTATTAGTAATTAACACAGATTAAAGCGAAATACCACTGAACATCTATTAGGCTCCAAAAAATGAGAAAGCTCAGTGATGCCAACCTTGTTTATGGCAGCACTGTTTACAATGGTGGAAAAAAAACCACACAACCAAAGGCCCCCAAACATTCATCCACAGTGGAAAAGACACATAAATCGTGCGAATTACTACTGTGCTAAATTCATTGGGATCCTACCCAGCCGTGAAGATGAGTAGAATACAATATGTAACAACATGTGAATGAATGAATAAATGAATGAATGAATGTATGAATGAATTCAGAATCCGTATGTAGGATTCTCAGGATTTTAACGTTAAGTGTAAAAGCGCTTATAGAGAAATATACTCAGTATGACTTCATTTGCATAAAGTTTAAAACCATCTAAAAGTAAATAACATCTAATTATAGATTCAAATATATATAGTAAATGAAAAAGAAAAGCAAGATTGGCTAACTAGATTGGCTATTATTTCTGAGGAAGGTCACTTCAGAATTCTAGAAGATGAAAGAAAAAAATAAAAATAAAACCACATCATCATCAATTATTTATTAAAGATCATGAATACAAGTTGGTTAGCCAAGGGAAACACAGATAGCAGAACTTTGTATCAAATGAATGGTCCCAGCAGTGGGTATATAAGAACCTCAAAGAAGAAACTGTTGACTTCGTGAGAAAATCTCCCCCATGGAGAAAACACAGGAAGGGCTTAAGATGGATCTTTGAAAGAAAGGTTTGGAAAACAAAAGCCGAGAGACATAGAGGAGGTCAAGAGCATTCCTGAGCACAGAGGCAGAATGCTGATGTGATACCTTTGCACAGGGTAGTAACAGGAGAGGTTGCAAGGGGCAAATTGTGACAGGTGAGGGAACTGGGGAAGGCACAGAAAAGATGGGGCCCACCACATACTTTAGCAAGACGGATCGGACAGAGGCATGTAGGGTAACAGTGAGGACACCATTGCGACAGCCCGGGACTGGGGTGATCAGGGCTGAGACCAGCGGAAGAGGAGCTGAATGATTTTAAAAGCACTTATCACGTTTGATGGGTAAAGCTGTAGTTTGGGAAACATTAAGAGGCTTTTATAATTACCCAGCCACCTGTGTCAGAGGCACAGGCCCCAGAATGCCCACACCACAGAGAAGGGTTAGCACAGCGAAGGATGCAGACGAGGGCCTATCGGCCCAGCCTGCCAGCACCTTGGTTTCTTTCTGGCTGCTCCAGACAGCAGAAAACACTGCCCCCTCCTATCAGCTCTGAGTCCACACTGGGGGCCGAGATAAGAAACATGAGGATCAGTCACCTTCCTTCCAGTCTCAGCCTAGCCAGGCCACCAGAGAGATTGCCTGCAGACATTTTATTCTCTTTTATCTACTGCCACCTAGTGTACACATGAAATCAATTACGTACGAAAAATACAATCTGGTTTTACCATCTGAAATTGGAACTGTTCAAAAAATCTAAATCCCATGGAAATAGCCTCTCTCGTGGGGAAATCCTTGAGCTTCTTTCTACAAGTTGGAGAACTCCTGATGGAGCTAACAAGTTGCTGACACATACATTAAAATGGAGCAGGACGTTCTTTAAGTAAAGCCTTACAGTCTTCTCAAAAAGAGAATATGTGGAGGGGCTGGTTCTGTGCTAGCTAATCTCCAGGAATATTAACAGTACGTTCTAGCTCTCCATCCTTATTAAAGGGAAGGACCCTGTAATAACTGTGCTCACCTTGAAATGGAGTGGGCTGCGTTTTGAGGGCTGAGTGTTCCATCACTGAACAAGGGCACGTCACGGAGGGGTTCGTGCATAAAGAAACCCTCACACGCACCACCCACTCTGGGGCTCTGTGAGGAGCACGAGGACTGCTACTAACAAATTCTGAAGGGCAAGGAATACGCACGCCTGTCTTGTTCTTTGTTGCACCCTCTAAAGCTAGTACAATGTCCAGCACATAGATACTCATTCTCTATTAACAGAATAAAATTTAATTTTGATTATTTTGAAGCATTCCATCAAAATGGTTAAAAGCACAAAACAGAACCAGTGCACCTGGGTTGAAATGCTAGTATGGCCACTTCCTGACTTTAAGCTTTAACTTACATGTGCCTCGATTTCTCAAGGAATAAAAATAGCACTTTGTAGCGTTTTAAGGAAGATTTAATGACAATTTTTAGAAGCCAATTAGAAATAGCTTTGTATGTATTCAATATTATTATTATTACTACTAATATTATTATTATGTAATCTCTGAAGAACATTTATGGAGGCCCAAAACAATATAAGTATGTGCCATGGCTAGAAATAAAATGTACAATTTGCAGAGAAGTGGTCATTTTTTACCTGAAATTATGTTTTCAACCTTCGGAGAAGATTAAAATAAAAACCCAGTCTCAGACTTGAAGACTTAAATTGATCCATTCTCAGGAGTGCCTGAATGGCTCAGTTGGTTAAGTGGCTGACTTTTGGCTCAGGTCATGATCTCACAGTTCATAAGTTCGAGCCCCGCATCAGGCTCTGTTTAGACAGCTCAGAGCCTGGAACCTGCTTCAGATGCTGTGTCTCTCTCTCTCTCTGCCCCTCCCCGACTTGCACACGTGCACGCGTGTGTGCACACACACACACACACTCTCTCTCTCTACATAAACATTAAAAAAATGTTTTTAATTGATCAATTTTCAACAATGAATCATGGGAAGACTATCACAAAATACTATTACATAGATGTTTGGTTAAGTTAAAGGAACTTTTCCTACCTGTTAAATATCACACAGAATTTCCTGTGCAATTTATAGATCAAATTCATCTCAAATGGCCATTATAAAACTAAAAGCCACCAGAACAATTATTTTATTGATAATTTTTTTTTAGCTAACTAACCATACTCCCCTCCAGTAATATTCTGTAATTCTCCTAGCATAACTATTTTGATGCCTGTTGCCCTTAGGATGGATTTATTGTCTTCCCATTAAAATATGCAAAAGTCTAGGGTACGGCACATACACTAAGTTCCCACTCAAGAAGGTAAGTTTGATTCTGCCTGGGGGCAGAACTGTGTGATTCGGCTCATACCAGTTTGAAGAAGATAAAGCCAGCACGAATTAATGACGTGCCATAGCACAGCGTGGTCAGAGTTAAGTTACCTAGTTTTCAAATTTGCCTTCTTTCCCACCAAAATGAGAAAAAAAGCTGTCCTCATGTTTTTATTTAAGATGGGAGTACGTAGGGGGTGCCTGTCTGGCTCAGTCCATATAGCATGCAACTCTTGACTTCAGGTTGTAGGTTCGAGCCCTACACTGGGTTTAGAAATTACTTAAAAATAAAATTTAAAAATATGTATTAAAAAAAAGAAGATGGTGTGCCTAGGCCAGGAGTGCTACAAAGGATGTGCAGTTAGGTTACTGGAAAGGACACAGGAGGGGTCTGTTTCACATAGCTAAAGCTAGGATTGCATGTTTCATGCCTTCTTTCATGCGGCCTTCTCTCATTTATTCTAAAAGTAATCTGTGATCACCCTCTCTATCCATGGAAGGATTAGCAGTTTCCATATTTAGTCAGCTGGTCCCCAAGGTCTAAGACTCTGCAGGACGCCCCACCTTCTAACAAGTGAGGCACACAGAGCTGGCAAATAGGGGCTTTTGCAAAAGGCTGCACGATTTCACCCAGAAGACTGAGGTTATGCCATTCAAATGAACCTCACAGAAGACACATAAAAAACATAAATCATGGGAATACTATGATGCTTCAGACTCAGAAATGGAATCCTCACGGTTACTGTAGAAAGAGCAAGTTAGGAAAATTAATTAGATCACTTAGGAGCCATTTTTTCCACATCTCTTTATCCTGTTAATCATGAATCTTTACCTCAAAAAAAGAGAAAAGTTTTCTAATTTTCAAATATTTCCAAAGTAGCGTATGTAACCTGCCTAAACCTTTGAAAAGAAATGAGCCCCCCAAATTTAGTAGTTCAAAGTAAAACTTACTAATCATGAATAGACACAATACAACGTCTATTACGATTCAAACTCTTCCATTCAAGGTGATATTTTTAAACTAACAGTCTTTTGGTTCTATGAGGGATCCCCAGACATTAACTTGGAGCCTTCAAAAAAATTTGATATTTAACATTTGTTTGTAATATTAAAGATGTCCTCTGTCCAGAACACTTTACACCTTTGCTTTATCATAAGAGCTTTTTAAGGGAAAAAAACAAAAAGCAAACAGTTGGTTGTTCACAGGCAGCGTCCTATCACTTCTGTGGCATTCCACGTCACATGAAATGAAGATGTTTTGCAGATGAACATTCATACCGTGTACTTAATTTATGCAACCGTGAGTGCTTACAGGTAATTGAAACTGGGTACACGGAGGCTGACATTCTTTAGGACACAAACAATTCAGTCACAGTGCTCACTTTTCTGTTTAGTATAAGTGAACTCTAATTCCAGGATGAAAAGATGGTTTTGAATAGATTTTTCAAGTGTGCATGTGAAAAGCATGGTTGAGGGTGGCTCTGCATGGCCTGGGTCACCCTGACCTCGCCAAACAAAGGAACCCTGCCACCACTACTGCTTTCTGGCTGCTGCATCAGATCAGCGCTTCTCAGACAACTTGTTGACATTTTAGAGAAAGTCCAGAACTCTTAAGTGGGCCGGGGCTGGCGGGAAACCACAGGGACAATGGCTTGGCTCTCTAAGGTGGGGGTGGCGTGGTGTCACGGAGAGATCCCTGAATGGGGAGCCCGGGTCCCCATTCCTCAGCCGGCAGCTCTACCCGCGCCACCCTGGGAAGGTGGCTGAGTGGATGACAGGGCAGCGGCAGCACAGAGGACCAAGCCCGGCCAAGCCCCAGACATGCCAGAATAAGACACACCATGAGTCAACAAAACCAGCTGGGGGTAAAACAAGAAAAGAGAACTTAACCTAAAATATGTCTCCCAAACATTTTAGGTGAATATATGCGATCACAGGGAATCGACAGCTACATCTATCACGGCAGACGCTGAAAACAAAATGTGACGAACCACAAATTATATTACATTACTTCTTTCAAACAAGTAAAAAAAATGATACAGTAATAATGATGATATAATAATGGCACAAAGAGGTACTAAATACTTTGTTTAGAAGAACTGGAAAGATGGCCAGAAGGTAGAAAGGACAAAAATTGTAGCAAAAAAACTGAAAATAGACACCAGCAAGAAAGAATGACGACAGAAATCCCCACATGTGGTTAAACAAAATCTATAAAAGAATCCAAAAAAGTTAACTTTTAAGGACTGAGGGTACCAAAACCCAAGAATCAAAGAGCTGACTGGGGTGGAAATGCAGGGACCTTCCGTGGAAGGGAGTACGGAACCACCGTGTAAACAGTGCTGGTGACTAAACTGTCACTCAGGAGTACATGTTAAGAACTCAAAACAGCCACTCGAAAAGCAAAGCAAGGCTCTGTCAATGATGAAAAACCAATTCAGATAAATAGGTAATAATGATTTCTGATATCAGTTCTTGGAAGAGAAAGGGGCTTACGAATAATCATGCAAAATGGAAAGAAACACACTAATACCAGCCAAGTATCCAGAAAAGATGAATTTTGTCTTTGAAAAGAATAGAACATTTAAATCTATAGGACCTGAGGGAACTTGTGAAGCAAAACCTACAGCTAGCTACATAGATAATTAAATATTGTAAAATATATGCAGGCAAATAGTAAAATGGTCTCAACTATCAGGTTTAATGCCTACATCTCTTCTTACTGTCCACGAGATTTTTTTCTTTTTGCCATTAAAAGGCTTCACGATACCTATTTCAATGACTGTTATAAACATTCTTGCCCTTCAGCCCTGTTCTTACGACAGCCATGACATACTCTTCCTAAACACACAGGAATACAAAGTTAAGTCAGGCTTCAGGGTCACCGGCCTTACGTTTGATTTCTCATTTCCTACTATTATGGACACAATTTTTAAGCTTTATTTCTAGGCCTTCAAGAAGCAAATACAAGAGGCTTCAGCAGTAATACACACTATCACTATTTATAGTATTATTGCATCAGTCAACATAATTGTTTCTCAAAGTGATGTTTTAAGGCCTAACTAACGTTTTACAGAATGAAGTCTCGTTGACCAATAGCCCCAAAATGTACACTTACAAACAGCAGAACAAATATGGGCAAAGTACTCACTTCAACAGTCTCAATTTTTCCTTCATGGGGATGTGGTGTTCTTGGGTATATATCAACAAGATGTGGTGATGAATCAAAATGCAATCTTTTGAGATTTCTTTTAATAATGTCTTTACAATTCAAGCCATCAAAATTAGTCCTCCATAATAAGACCTTTAAAAAATTAGTATGTTGGCAGTTATCCACTTGCATGTGAAAGCACCAGAACTGATTTTTATTTTTACAAAATCCAATATACATAATTGTCCCTTATAATAGGACAGCTAGATGTATATTTCAACAATGCTATTTTTTTTCAATACTATTTGTCAAGTGTGGAAGGGAAAGATTTAGCACTTGGAATTGCCCTCATGCCCAATTTAAAATTCATACTAAGAAACAACTTACTATTTTAAAATTCCCTTTTATTTTTTCAAAGTTCAAAATCATGTTTTTGGCTTGATAGTCCATCTTATTCAATAAATCTGCCTATGTATGACCCAAAGTCATATGTATGACTTTGGGTCATACATAGGCAAAAATGCAAATTTGCTACATTAACAATTTATATTTACCATCCTCTGAGGAGCTTAACATTTGAAGAACAAGATGTAGAGATAAAAGATGAGGCAGAGTTCAAATGGAAGTGCCACACCAGTATTGGAAATTCAGTGAGTTACACATATAGTTGAGTGTCCAGATGAGCTGCTGTTTGAGTTCCAGAAAGTATCAGAACTGGCACTATTTCAACTGGGAGACAGCAGACTTCCTGGCATTAAGTTAAAATATAAACTTATTGATAATCCTCTTAACATATACAAAAGAGCTGATTGTAAAAACCTTAGCTGAGGTCTTGGATTCCTTTTCCCTAACCAAATCAGAGAAGGAGCTGAAAGATTTACAAACCTGTGCATCTGCACCTCCGGAGCTAAATAGGTCTCCACCTTTTGAGAATGAAACAGTAAAGACAGGTCCCTAAAAAAATAAAGGGAGATTTTTTTTTTAAGCACTTGGTATTGTTTTCTTATGTCCAGGAAGACTATTCATTTTTCATCCTATTCTATATAGACTATTTATGCAATAAGTCTGATAGAACATATCCAGTTGTTGGCAAATAATGTAGGCAGAGTAAAGATTTCAAAGCACCAACCCAATTATATTTGAACACATATAAATGATACTAGATTTACAAAGCAATACTAATAAAAATATGCAATACACGTTTTTCCCTTTAAAGAAAAGCTTGTACGTGTGTAAGTTAACAAGAATGTCTCTGTGGTTAAGTCTCCAACTCTTGATTTCAGCTCAGGTCCTGATCTCATGGTTCGTGAGTTCGAGCCCCACATCGGGCACTGTGCAGACAGCACAGGGCCTGCTTGGGAGAATCGCTGCCTGTCTCTCTGTCTCTCTCTCTTTTAAAAAATAAATAAATAAAAATTAAAAAAAAAAAAAAAAAAAAGACTTTCTGGCTTTGGACTCTTTACTCAGAATAACAAATCACCGGCAGAAACCGAATGACAAGTCTGTAGGGAAGACGAACAAAGCCCCTTCCTGACCACAACAGGCTTCACTGAGTTCTCTCTTCACATGGGCAATAGTGAGTCACTGAAAGTTTTGCCAGCAGGACACAGGAGAGAGCTGTGACTGTTGAACACTGAGGTCACAATTGTGAGAATGATGAATTGGACTGAGAATGAATGGTTGGAGCCAGTTAAGAAATTACTGCAATTACCTAGGTGAGAGGTAGTGAGAACCTGAAATTAAGCCAGGACTCTGGAGTTGGAGAAGTCACAAGATGTCCAAGGACATTAAAAACTAACAGAAGATACTAATGCTTTTTCTATATAAGAAAAATTTGGGGAAACCATCTTGTATTTTTCAAGTAGATCATCACACAGATTTAGGTTATTATAGCCTCATAAATATCTTTAGACTGAAAAATTCCATCGTGTGTAGTGTTTTCCTCCTAAAATATTTTGCTTATCTTTTTTTCTATTATTCTGTACTTCTTCCATGGATATTTTGATCCTTGACCACTTCGATATGGTTATTTCTTCAACCTAAATCCATGGATACACATATATCTGAGCTGGTTAGTGTCTATTTCGGATTTGCTCTAACACAGCTGCAGGACAAATGATAAAGCAAAGCAGGAAGCCAGGCAGGATACATGAAGGCAGAAAGAAGTCCTTCTCCCCTAGACCACAAAGCCTATTCTATTTCTGGAGATAAACAGCTTATAATTGGTTAAAAGGAAGTACCTAGGACATCTTTAAAAAAAAAGAGAGAATGCAGGATGCATTCTAAAAAAACTTAGAGAAGTTTGTATATTTACCCAGAAAGGAGGAATACTTTATACACTTAAGTAGAGTTTTTATTTAGTGCATTATATGCTGGTGAGTGTGTGTGTGTGCGCACGCGCGTGTATCACTGAACAGGCTCAATAAATAGCAAGCCTCTTCCCCACAGGATTCTAAATCAATTGAAAAATAAGACACAGGAATATCATCTTTCTTACTGGTAAGGGCTTTAAAGAGAAAATGTGGCTCTTTATCTGTGGGTAAATGGGCTTTCTAGAACTGAATCCCAGTATGAGTCAGATTTGAGTACCCAGTCATAGGCAAGACCGGACAAGGGCAGGCCTGCCCACAAGAAATAGCAGAGAAAAACAATGAAGACAGACTCCCAAGAGTAGAAGGCACTGGGCTCTACTCATGGAATTTCTCCTTCTAAACTCACCAGTGAGATTAGTGACGAGGAGGGAGAGGGTGTGAGAGGCTCAGTGTCAGAGCTGTGGAACAGCCTCCACATGAGGGGAAAGACCAGAGTAAGGAAAAGGCTTATTCACCGCCATTTGACCAGTCAAACCTATGCTACATACTGAGGAAGACAGCAGTGGGGGATTAATTTCACAGCCATTGAAAGACACACTGATTTTGACAAGAATTACAATAAATAATATTTCTAAGAGTTGCTTCCAGTGGATAAAAACCAAGTCCTGAAAGCAAACATTTTTTGTGATACCAGCAACGTGTGCCACACTTGGAAAGATAATAAAGACATATAAAATCGATCAACACTTTAAAATATACATAATTTAAAAAGCACAAATCTTAGTGTCAAATACCGTATGTCCTTGAAGTGTGTATATAAGTCTTCCTTCTAAGAGATCCAGAATCTTAAGTGTGCCATCTGAAGACGCAGTGATGAGATAGTTACCCGAAGGATGGAATGATACACAATTAACTCCACCGCTGTGAACTGATTTATAGAAAACAAAAGCAAAACGTTCAGAGAACAATTGTCAATTCTAAAGATGTTCTCTTGCCCTATTAGCAATATTGGGCTGGAAACAACAATCAATCAGAGACAATGTCTCCACAACACCAAAATTCCATGTAGCTCACTAAAACAAGTAAGTAGTTTGCCATCGTACAGCTTAAACTTCCAGCTAATGAGACAGAATAGCTTTAAAAGTGAAAGTGTGACATGGAAAGATGATCTCGTTAACCATGTAACTCTAAACTCTTCAGATACATTACCCATATAACGTAGCCAACAATTGATCAACACCAGCTCACATAAGATATACAACCTAGCCTTAAATGAAATTTCATAGCCAATTAGTGGCTTGAGGCTCAGGAATGAAGAGTATGGAAGTATATTTGTAGGAGCACATGGTCTTGCCAGCTTGTCCGAGAATTCATTTCTGGACACCATCCTTCCAACAGGAGGCAGTACGATACAGCCATCAGAAGGCTGTTCTTCTGAGTACTTTGTAAACAGAAGGCCCCAAGCTAGTTCCATCAATTATTTTAGCACATTACTTAACCTCCTTAACCCTTAATTTCCTTATCTTTAAAATGGGGACAATATTAATAATACTCCTGAGGGCTGTTGTAAGGATTTAACACAGTATCTGCCACGTGGTAAGTATACTTATTTTATTGGATTTAATGGAAATCCAATAAAAAAGAAACAAGAAATCAATTCATTTCTCTTCTAGCTTCAATGCACAGCCATGGCAGGATGTTGTTTTCTACCAATTATAACACCTATTTGTGCTCCTAGAACTCCTTCTGACTCAGAATTCAGAGTCCAATTCTACCCCCGACCTCTCATGTAATGCAGACAACCAACGTGTGAACAGCTTTCAGTAACTTCTTTTTTAACTGCCCTGGCATCATTTTTAAGGTCGCTTCACCTCTCTCTCCACTCTGACATCCACGCCAGCTTCTCAGACCACACTGTTGATGCAACTAATTGTCCTCTAGTCAAATCAAAGGCAGCCAGTGACCCTGTCTGAGAGAGCCACACCCCACTGAGAAGCATAGGCTGCGGGTTTAAGAGTTTCCTGGAGTAGGTCAGGCAGCACCTGGACTCTGTTGTCATGGAAACTGTTACCTTGATAATGCTGGAGCAATTTGTTTACTCTTATATCCCAGATTTTCACGGTATGATCAGAACCTGCTGAAGCTATGCATGTACCAGTAGGGTTAAAACCCACAAAATTTGCAAACCTAGAAGGAAAGAATAAGATAGTCTAATATTTTGATTTCTTCACCTTTATTTCTTTATTTGAACTTAATAATTAAATGCTTCTTTAGCAAACTAACCCATGTAACCACATAAATGCCCAAAGAGAATGGACTTACCCTACAGAATCTGAGAAGTTATTAACACACTGCTTATTTGTGGTATCCCAAATTTTAATAGTTTTATCTTCACTACATGATACAATTAGCCTTCCATCAGGTGAAAATCTGGAAAGCACAAGAAGATTATCTTTGTGAAAGGCTCCTGACAATCACCCCCACCCCCTATACACACACACACACACACACACACACACACACACACACTCCCCCACACACACGTCAGGCTGTACATGTATTAAATACCAGAGACCACTGCTAGCACACCATGCAGCAAAGTCATATCCTACAACCATATCTCCAACTAAAAATAAGCATAACAAATTATAAGCACAATGACAGACCGTTAAAAAAAATCAAAATATACTATATAGACCAGCCAATTTTCTTTTTTCCTTTTCTTACTTTATTTAAATGATTTAGTTTTATAGCACTTGTTCTAGGTCTTTGATTCAACTTTGTCCTCCTCCTAAGCCAAGTACCTTGTTGTTGTTGTTTTTGTAAGTATTCTTTTTTCAAAAAATATTTATTTTTGAGAGAGAGAAAGAGAGAGAGAGAGAGAGAGAGAGAGAGAGAGAGAGAGAGAGGAGGGGGGCAGGGAGAGAGAAGGAGACACAGAAGCTGAAGCAGGCTCCAGGCTCTGAGTCAGCATAGAGCCCAATGAGAAGCTCGAACCCGAGATCACGACCTGAGTCAAAGTCAGACGCTCAACCAACTGAGCCACCCAAGTGGCCCATAAGTATTTTTTGTCTCTTTCTTCTATTTTTGTCATTTTCTGGTATTATCCATGTGACCTAAGAGAGCCTTTACTATTCATCCCACTAACCCTGTACTGAAGCTCTTCAGAAGAAACAGATTGGCATGTTGAGAATTAAAATTGAATGATACTACCAACAAAAGCATCAACTCCCCAAGCCTGTAGTTTCCTGGACCTTGGGAGGCGCTAAATCTCCAGTGGATAGCCCATTTATACAGAACTGAAGGTCCTGATTCATGGACACACCTATCATCCACATGTCCCATTAAAAACAAATGAGTGCATTCTCAGACATTTCATCTACTGTTTTTATGCACTCTCTTCCTTTAAGAATCTTTCCAAAGTTCGTTCTTTTTCCCCTAAGTGGTAGGAGAAAAACAGAAGAGTAGAAGACCAAGAAAAAAAAAAAAACTGAAAATTTTTAGACCATTGGGAAACTATGAATAGTTTTTTATTATTAATATTTTAGTAATAACAACAAAAAACGACAGACTTAGGTCATAGACCAATTATGTTTCATTTTATTTGTACTTTCCCTCTATGCCCAGATTACTATAAAGGTCATCAGTTAAGGGTGTGGATTATAATTGAAGGGGGTGTTTCGTGTTCTCTCACTCCTCTCCTCCCTCTCTGTTCTTAAGGCTAACCTAAAAATAATTCTTCCTGACAGAAACTTTGAATCTGTCATTTATGGATTTACCATATAAAAAAAGGGACATAGGAACATAATTAAGTTCTTTGTGAAATAATCTTTTAAATTCGGGCAAGTAACCTTGTAAGAAAATGTCTTGCGAGCTGGGCAGTTCAGTTTGATTTTATAATAACATAGTATGTTATTAATCTTTTCCTCCAGAAAATATGTGAGAAAGATTAACATGTGAAGGACAGTATTATAGAAAGGCTTCAAGTAGATGAAGCATATGTTATACAGACTGGGGAAGAAAAACCTGCTCAGTATCCTTATGAAAATATAATAATACATAGTAATGCAACTAACACATAGAATCAAACTGTTTCTTTTTTTTTTTTTTTAACGTTTTATTTATTTTTGAGAGAGGGAGAGACAGAGCGTGAACAGGGGAGGGTCAGAGAGAGGGAGACACAGAATCTGAAACAGGCTCCAGGCTCTGAGCTGTCCATACAGAGCCCGACGCGGGGCTCGAACTCACAACGGCGAGTTCGTGACCTGAGCTAAGTCGGCCGCTTAACCGACTGAGCCACCCAGGCGCCCCTCAAACTGTTTCTTAATGTTATCTTTTTTTAACATTTATTTATTTTGAGAGAGAAAGAGACTGAGAGCATTAGTGGGGGAGGGGGAGAGAGAAGGAGAGAGAGAGAATATCCTGAGCAGGCTCTGCACTGTCAGCACAAAGCCCAACATGGGGCTTGATCCCATGAACTGTGAGATCGTGACCTGAGCTGATCTGAAATCGAGAGTCAGACGTTTAACCCCCTGAGTGACACAGGTGCCCCAACAAGTTATCTTTTAGAAGTCACTTAATGTGAGTATTTAAAAAAAATTTTTTTTTCAACGTTTATTTATTTTTGGGACAGAGAGAGACAGAGCACGAACGGGGGAGGGGCAGAGAGAGAGGGAGACACAGAATCAGAAACAGGCTCCAGGCTCCGAGCCATCAGCCCAGAGCCCGACGCGGGGCTCGAACTCACGGACCGCGAGATGGTGACCTGAGCTGAAGTCTGACGCTTAACTGACTGAGCCACCCAGGCGCCCCTAATGTGAGTATTTTAAATAAGTATTTCTAAGAGATCACTTGATCCTTACATTTTAAGAAAGCCATGACAAAAGAAATGTTTAATATAAAGATGAAGTGATCAAATTAAAAACAAAGTATAAAAATACTCAACTTGGACGCTATTGGCCAAATACCACCACCTCCATTATCATCATTATCCTGCCTACATTTATTGAGCACACATGTCCGAGAATGGTTCTTAACACATTACCTATAACAACTTGTTTAATCCTCAAAATAATCCTACTAAACAGGTGCTACTGGTCGCCTCATATCACAGGTGAATAAACCAAGGCACATAAAGGGATGGGTAAACTGCCGGAGTCACACAGCAGGAAGCTTTGAACCAGGCAGTCCGGTTCCACAGCCAAACCTCTCAGTCACTCTGCTTAAGTCCCTGACAGAAAGGCAACTTTCTGCAACTGGCTAAATTATTTAGAGCACAGAAGTTCAGTGTGGCTTCTGGGTGACCACAGAAAGTTCTAAAGTGGAGGGAAACCATGAGGCAGTGCTCTTAGGAGGCCAGGTGACTGGGCTCTACCTGACAGGCTAACCACTAGACTATCCTTTAATAAAAACCGGCCTCTGCTGCCATACATTGTCAGTGTCCTTGGGGAGTTTATGGGGGGACATATTCATTGATTCAAATATTTTATACCTCCAAAACCAGGCACTGGGCCCTGTCCTGGGTAACTGGAATACAGTGGTGAATGAGACTGGTAAGATCCCTGCCTTCATGACGTTTGCACTCTAGGAAGGGCACACAGCAGCATTTTAGATAGTGCTGAGAAAAGAGTTTGAAACAAAAAGGTGCCAATTTGTCAACAGAAGTTCCACGGAAGCAACAGGATTTTAAAGAAACTTGTGAATAAAGGGGGTATCTTGGCCGGCTAGAAATCCATCCTGAGCAGGAAGGGCTATAGCCCCGGAGAACTTCTAGGTACTAAAGAAATGAAGGGGATGCAAAAGTCAGATAAGTGGAGGGAAAGGAGGGGAAGGACCTGGTGAGGGGTGGGGTGGGGGGTGTTCTACCCCAGCTCGACATGACCAAAGGGGGACCGGAGATTAAGGCTGTCCCCCTCCTCCGGACACCACGTTATAATGCCTGCACATGTTCTCTATATATGTGTTTTGTTTTGTTTTGTTTTGTGGGGAGGGGTTGCCTTGGGAAGGGTTATAAGTGAGGCTGGTGGTTTGTATCTTCTCTTCTCTCCTTTTATTTTGAATTAGATACATCAAAAATAGGTTGGCACCAATAAAAGAGGCTTCTCTTTGCCCTGACTTCGGTCAGTAAAGGACAGTCCTTTCCTTTGTCAGGGCTTAAGCAACATCTAACTGGGTTATCAATTTTAAGAGTGTTAAGAGGACATAAAATTTCTACTGAGACATCACCAGATTTCTAACTCTCTAATTCAGCACCACTCGACTACCTTTTAAAACTTCCAGAAAGTGTGTCATAGAGATAGACATTATATTAGTCAATAGTGACTGGCAGATGATCAGACAGGAACTGTCTGTAAGGCATCTGGGAAGTTAATTGAACCACTGTTCAATCTCTTAAATATACTGGTACTTATTTGAGAGAATCAGGAAACTACTGAACTTCTTTCTAGAAAAACTGGTTCACAGGTCATTGAGAATAGCCCAGTGGCATAACAGGAGTTCTTTAACTTGGAATCTATGGAGTTCCTGCAACTGTATGTAAAATTGTATTACCATATGCACAGCCATAGAGCTATTCACATATTAGAGAGCCAAAGGGATCCATGAACCATGAGAAGTTTCAAAGTGCTTTCATAAGAAACCAAAAACTTCCTTTGGAAATCTCTTATCATTGGAATAAATGTTCTATAAAAAAAAACATTTCCAGCCCTCAGGCTTCTGACACCAAACAGAGTAGGCACTGTTCCATGTCTACTGAGAAACAAATAATTAGTAATTGGACTTTGAAGCCAGCAGCTATTCAATAGGAGGGGGAAGCAGTAAAAAGTAGTGGAAATAGACTGTCCAGTCAGTACACGGTCCTGAATTCTAGGGCCAATTCTGCAACTGTCCGGCTATGTAACCCTGTGAAATTCAAAACCACACTGGCCACTGTTTTCTATTTGTATAATGAGGGTGTTTGGACTGCATTCAGAACCAAACTTTCATAGACTCATTAAAAAAATATATTGGCAGTCTCAGAGTTTGCTTTGGTGGGATTCTGTGTTTACACACTGAAGGTGAAGTTCAAGGCAATAAGCAAAACATTTATACTTTTTTAAGTGTTGGTCAGCATCAGAAGAGAATCCATCTGTTAATTGCAGTAACAGGATTCATTCCTACAGCTGCTGAGAGACAGAAAGCAGATGAAAGAGATATAAAAAGATTTAAGTATGCCATGAAACATGTTAATTATTTGTTGGGTCATTTACCATTTATATGCCCAGACTTCTCTCCTGGGATCTCCACCCATAAGTGTAACGGCCTACTGGGCGTCTCCTCTTGCATATCCTGCAGGCACCTCCAACTCTGAGCTTGTCCAAATCTGAACTCATCGTCTTCCTCCCTAAACTGTCCTTCTCCAGTGTGCTGTTTCTCAGCAAATAGTCCCTCAG